AAAAAAAAAAATATCACACGAATAGAACGAATATAAATCCATTATCCGACAGACAGAAAATATTTTCTGCCAATCGAATGGGATTAATTCTCCCGATAATGATTTGTGTTTTATATATATATCAAAAGATAAAATCGATTTTATTCCTTTGGTCTTTCCGGCCTATTCCAAGGGTCTTCTAATTGCCTCATTCGACGAACATCAATGGCTTTAAAAGGAAAGGGGCATCCACCGACAAGCTGTGACCTAATTAGAAGGGATGAAACGATATTCCGGTCGGCGCCACGGCCTGAAAACCCGAAACTCGAAATTTTTTCGACGTGAAAGCGCGGAAAGAGGGGAAAAAAAAAAAAAAAAGAAGAAGAAGGAGATAGATGGTTCACAGATTTCACCACGCATCACGTGTGACCTCCTGAACCATGTGCCATTTCCCTCGCGCATCCGTGGTTAAGTTGCATTTTTCCAGGGACGAGTACCATTCCTCCTACGAGCGTAGGAGGAATTAAATTAGGAAATATCCGTAGGAGCGACTCTTGCTGTGGCGTAACGACGTTATATCCTCCTTTATAACCTGTTTACAACCCGTAATTGCGTTTCCTTAATTTTTACATCGTTTGACGGGGACGTAAGGAAGATTTAACCCGGCATTCTTCTCTTATTAAAGCTACGATGGACATTTATGAAACGTTGCGCATTCATGAAATTTCGCTTCAATTTTGATTCTTCCTGTTTTCCCAATTTTCATCGTGCTCGTATCGTTACGTCCGGTTGAAAATCAAGCCTGATTTAATTATCGACTTACACTACTTGCGGTGGAAGAAGCATTTTTTAAACGGGTGTTAAATCTTAGATCTTTGATTTCTACAAAGTGAAATTGCGTTAAACAATTATTAGAGTTAAAAGTTTTATTTTCAATTATATATTAATATAAATTTAATTATTATAATTTATAAAAATTTATATTTATATTTCTAAATCACAAATCACATACGTTGAATATTTTTTATAATTTGTATAAAAAATAAGAAAATAATAGGAAATATTTTCATCTGTGATGCAAAGATGGTAACAGGATCGAATTGCTCGTTGACATTAACGTGTTGAAGTAGTCTTTCCTATTCTAATATCCATCATCCCTGACCCGTATTAACGAGGGACGGTAAAATTTGTGACAATCCGATTATCGAAAGCTTCTACTGCAACGTCATCACACATTCGAAATGAATTAGTGTTTAGTTTAGTGTCGTTAATTTGTATCAACGGAAAGTCGATTAATATATAAATATGTACGATTGCTATTACGTACCCCGTTTGTCAAGCTAGATATCGGGCAATTTACAGTATTTACAAAATTGTGACATTTATCGTGATTTTGTGTTACATATTCGTCAAATTCCTGGTTATACGTGTTTAATTGCTGTTCAACCGGATGCGCGAATCATTGTCGAGAAATTTACGTTTCTCCAACAAGAGAAAATAAAGAGAAGTGATTTTTTATTTTGGCCAATAACTGTATTGGCTCGTATAGAGTCAATTCGTATAGAGTTAATTCGTTTCGACATGTTGGAAAATAATTTTTTCTCTTTTTTGATTCAACTATTTGCAATCGTTCTCTTTTTCGCGAATTCATTTCAGAATCTCATTAATGTGGTTTTCCTTCGCTCTGTGTACGTGATGTAATTAAAGATTGTACGCGATACACGTTTTATTTCTGTTTCTCTTTAAACATACACGCGGTAAATTTAAATTATTACGGTTCTCGCATTTCCTAATTAATCCGCCCGAGATTTTAAATCGCTGGTATGATATTTAAATTTTTATCATCTGTTCTCTTCGATGTGAGAGAATATAAAGATAAGTGAATGTTATTAATGTAAAAATAAATATTGAAATGATTAATGTAATTTATCATTTATTTAATCCTTTCGATGATATGACGAATACATATTTCTTGGATCAATGTATTGCAATTATCATCTAAAATTATCCATCAATTCAAACGATTAAATAATAATTTTTCGATCCTTGGATCAATATATTGCAATTCGTACAAGATATTTTCTTTATCATCTAAAATTATCCATCAATTCAAACGATTAAATAACAATTTTTCTATCCTTCCTTGGATCAAAATTATGGCGAACGACGTATAATCTTTCATATCGTTTATAATTACTCTCAAGCTTATATTTCTATCGATCATCGTGTAATAATTCCATTTACAACGAACATACACGATATACTATACATAATAATAAATAGCATAAAGAGATCGCCTGTTTAAACGCCTCCACCTGTTACTCTTTCCGTACACGTTTTTCCCGCGGATATACGTATCCGCAATTTTTCGCGATATAAAATGAAAAATTTAATGACCGCGCCACGTACTCGTCGGTCTTTGAGGCCATTCCCCTTCTTAGAGCACGCCCCATGCATATTCTATCGACGAGCGCAAAACCGCACGGCAACCCCGTGGTAATGTTATTCCGCAAGTCTGTCGGATCCATATCGATCCACGGATCACGGAAGATTTTGAAAAACGAGGCAGTGGCCGTGACCGCAACAGAGCAAGCCACGGTATCGCCTTTGATCCCGTGATCAAGTTGCGGACGTGACTTTTCTTTTCCTCTTTTCTTCCCTCTGGTATCTCGTTTCCCACGAATTATATCGAAGGAAGAGAAAAAAAGAAGAAGATAAACGAGAGCAAAGTTAACGAAAATTTGTGAAGAATTACCTTTTTTTTTTTATTTTTCTCTATTTTTAATTCGAAGATCATTGTTGCGAATTTCTGATTGATCTTTGAATTTTATTTTCTGTATCCTTTCGGTTTAAAAATCGAACGATTCCGTGATTAATTAATGTTACTTTAATTCGAGGAGGAATATCAGTTCGATTTCTTATATTTTAATTCGATAAATTTTAATTCGATTTTTCTATTATTATATTGATAATTATATATATATATATGTGTGATTGCCAAACACATATTATATTATATTAATAAAATGAATAAATAAAAAATAATTAGATATATAAAATAAATTATAAATCAATTTATAGGTATTATTTGTGGAATTAAATTTCATTAGAAGTAATTTTAAATACTATATTTGATTTAAAAGATCAACTCTTAAATTTCAGACATCTAATGAAATTTTAAAAAATAATTTATAAAATTTATTTTAGTTTGACAAACTAATAATAATAATAATAAATTCTGTATTCGTTTCTTTCTGCAATGGCAAATATTACACGATAGAAAGTTTAATTCTAAAATCATATGTAAATGCATTTTTCAAATAACATAATGTAGAATTTAAATATGATTTATATGGGATTAACAATATTGCTTAAAGTTTAAAAATTATAAAAGAGAATACTTCAAGTATCATCGAATCATTGATTCACGGGAATAAATTGAAATACAAATTTGAAAAAATAAAAATTCCAAAATATATACATATGTATATATATTTTTTAATTCTAATTGTTTCAAATATGAATATAGCATTTGAAACATATCACATCGAAGAAATTAAATAGCAATAAAATGCGAGATCATTTTTCTTCTTTATTTCCCCCTCCTGGGTGAATGCTACACCATTCGGCAGAAGTAACAGGTAAATCCTCTTACCTCTTTGTCACCCAGTTGATGAACTCTGCAATGAAGAAAAGCAGTCTGGCCAACTGCTGTGGTCACATTTCGTGGAACGTTCATTTCGAACGTTGGTCCGTTGGTGAAATTGTGATTGCCAAACACATTTCCTCCCACCAGCTTTTGATCTCGAGCAAAAGTGCCTGAAAAACGTGAGTCGGCAAAATTAAATTTCCCTTTTTTTCCTTTTCTTTATCAAACTTTCTATCTAATCAGACTATAGAATATATATATATATAATTCCAATTTTTCCATTCAGTTAGTTAAATTTTAATAATTAACCATCATTGAATACGTAACTTGTTATTCCATCAATATTCAAAACTCTTCGTATTCGTGACAAACAAATTCGAGACCAGCAAAGTGATGACTTGAACTTTCCTTGTATCAGAGAGTTTGAAAAAAAAAAAAAATCCTCGATATCAGAATATTTCCAAAATTCACAAGAATTAATACAGATCCAAGATCTTTCATAATCTCGCCAAATATCATTACCTCGTTCGTTCCTTTCCTATTTCCTGAGCGAAATTCGATAACACCAAGGCTCGTTCAACGTCACCTGGAGAGACATTAACACCTGGGAGAGGGGGAGAGGGAAGGCCTATTGTTTCCCACGGTCACGATAGTCTTTTATGACAGTGACTATTATGTGATCCCAGATCGACAAGGAATCGTCGCGGCGCATTGTGATTTCTATTGGCTATTGTTGGCGTTATCAAGAGAAATAGCGGAATACCAATGACAGCTGTCAATGCCTACTTCATCATTGATTGCATCGATGCCTGAACCAGATAGCTGTACGACACTGGGCGTCTCCGACACTGGCCAGAAATCGTGAAATCCCTCGATTAATCCAACCTCCCTTCTTCGAGGAGGAGGTGGTGGTTCTTTCGTCCCTTCGGAGATGAAAAACCATAAATCTGTTTCGAGTTATGGTTTCAACGTTCTAGATTCCACGATAACGGTTCTTTTCGAAACTGGAACAATGGATAGTTTCACTGTGACGATGTCGACAAAGCATCGAATTTGACTTCAGGCGTACCGAGCTTAATGCACCCCTAAATTAGGTTACTTATAGGATCGTGTTACAGCATGTGAAAGCCCTATTTGCGAGAGAATGCTTTGGAATCGTTGCTCAAAGTGTGAGTGTTATTCGTAAATTCGATTTATTAATTAGATTTTAGAAAGTCTTTTTTTTTTCTATATGTATATTATTCTTTTTTTCGTATCAACAGGGAAAAATAAACTCTGTTGACTTTTTTTTTTTAGGATGGAGATGAAATTTTTAATATTTCTCAATATTCAAATATTTGATCGCCTGACCAATATATATATATATTTTTTTTTATTAAAATTCACTTGGAATAATATTAATTTTATATTTATTGGGGATTCAATATGCGGAATAATGTGCTGATATTTTCTATATTTATCTTTCATACTAATTTAATAACTCTCGTGTAATATTTTTTTCCACAAGTTTAATTATTCGAGATAGGATTTTTAATGTAATGGAGTCGCGTGTATAAGATGAATTTCCTTATTAATACTTCGATCGAATTATCGATCGAATTCAATATAAAACGCATAAATTTCTAATCGAAGTAGAGAAATTTTAATTTAATACCAGCCTCATCTCTGTAGCTCAAATATACCATGATTGAATTAAATTAATTCAATTTATTTCACGCAGATATAGGGAAGCAGATATACGAGTTTCTTCTCTCGATGATTGTTAACAAATTAAACGAGTTAAACGATAAATTTATATCTTTCCTCGAATCAAATTCTTACTTAAATTTTCATTTTTCACGCGATGTATAATATATAAAAATAACGCGAGGAATCTGTTATTTGTTCTTCAAATAAAATTCTACCATCGATTTTTACCATCCATCCTCGAATACAAAACGTGCTTTTGTAGATCTACTCTTGACACGGTACCCCTATTACAAAATCTATCGATGAAAACGTTGAAATAATATCGATACGTACGAAAGGGGGTTGCGCGCGCGATCGACCATCCATCCAGGAAGGCAAACTTTGGGCGGTGTGTGCACACGTCTGCCCTGTATTTCCATACGATCATCGCGAAATTTCGCGGTTAAACGTCGGGTCATCCGCATTTGAATAAGATTTGAATTTCCCGCCGGGCGAGCGCCAAACACTCCACCTCTTGCATTTCCATACCGCCACGTTGTATATATAAGGGCGTTACTTTTTATCAGAAGAGAAATTCAATAAGAGGAATTCCTCCTCGCCGGGATCTAAATAACGACGAATCGAATGGCTCGACGATTAAACGAACAAATTAAATCTCGTGTCTCGCGACACGATAATCTTCGCAATCTTCGCACAAGGAAGAAAGTCTCTTATTTCCTTCTCATTTTTTTTTTTTTTCTCTCCCCAAGGAGTTTCAATTGTGCCACGGAATCACCGTTCCAAGTAGGTTCGAATCTAAAGGAAATCGCGGAGGAATGGAAGGAAAGGCGCGGGCGGAAAGAGGCAGAGAGAGAGAGAGAGAAAGAGACTTCATCCTGGATCTCGTTTCGTTTATTAATCCGAGAATTTTAACAGAAAGATAAAGGAACAGGCGCAATATTTGCAGATTGCGCCTGCCTAACACGAGATTTTCATCCGGTTTATTCTTTAAAAGACTAATATTCCACCTTTCTGATTATCCTCGCCAGACTCTCTTGGATATTGGCTGCCCCTTTTGTTATAAAAAGCGGACTCGAGAAAAATTCTTTAGGATCGCGGTAAGACTTTTGCTAATTAACTAGAAAGAAGAGAATTCTTGATTCTTGATCGAACTTGTTCTTTTCTTTTTCTTCTTTTCTTTCTTTTTTTTTTTTTTTTTTTTTTTTTTTGGATCGATAGCGCGCACTTAGCCTTCATCCATTTATTGGAATCGGTGAGGATCGATTGTCGAAGACTTGTCGAGGGAGGAAAAATTTCGTGGAGCGTTCATACCAGTTCTGATGGCTCGGTGCATTTATTTGAATATCAGATACCGAGGAGGAGGTATTCTTTGTTCCTTTTTTGGTTCCTCTTCGAGGAATGCGTTCGACTGGGAAGCTTTCTAGTTGGTAAATTTAGAGATCTTGGATCTTGGATGATGTTTTGATACGGTGGAACATAGAGAGGGAGTTATTTAAAGATTTGTTGAAGAGACGAAGCTTTTTTCCCCAAAACTATTTTCCAAAGACAATTTCCTTGGAATAATAATTTAATCAACCGTAAAAGTTTATTATAACAGTTTTGTTTAACTAAAACTTTGATATTATTGCGGCTTACCTTTTCTTTTAGGATACGAGCAATTTAATTCTTTCTTAAATGAAGTGAAATTTAATTGGAGAGAAAAATTGTTAGCTTAATGTTCAATAATAGATAATAAGCAAATTTTATAAATAATGTCAATTTAAAAAAAAGTCCATTTCATTAAAGATAGAATATATCTTTGTAAAATTAATTTCGAATAAATGAGAAAGACCTAGAAATCGATAAAAGTCTTCGGTAATCTTTAGGTAGAATCTGTGGGGCTTTCATGAATACCTAGATGTTCGCCTGTATCTTATAATCAGCACGCTACTCTCTCTCTTGGCGCTACGACGAAGTGACAAGCTGGATAAATTGCAGCGTCGTCTTTTGATCACTCCATTCACTGTCTAAGTCTCGAAGACAGTCTTGGCTCTCTTCCTCTGCCCGCAAGAAAGTTTATTCTTGGCCTTTTTTTTTTCGATGTTGATATATAGGTTACTAGACAAGACACTAGAGACAAGAAACCGTAGAAATGGAAGGAGTTAAGTACATCGAAGCGATGTTTATCAAATAATTTAAGGTGACGAATGAAGTTGTTGAAAGAATATTAAATTTCTTAATATTTATAATTTCAATATTATATAAAGTAAAATGTGGTTAAATTGAAAGAAGAATTTCGAGAAAAATTTTTAAAAAATTTCAATATTTTATGACAAAATTTATATATACAACAATATATAATTTTATAATTCATTTCGCTTCGTAATTTTCGCAAATTTACCGAACTCTCAACATTTATCATTCACTTCCACATATTGCTGAATAAAAATGCTAACTCTTTTGCTAATAATCCGGGACAGAACACCTCGATACGATATTAAGCAAGGAGAGAAGTAAAGGGAATAAAAAAGAAAATTCTCTTCCTAAATCCTTGTATCTTCGTAAATCTTCCACATTCAACCCTTATCCCTCTGTCCGCAATATCTTATTTTATACGTGCCCGTTCAAGACACGAGGGTTGCACAAGGCCAGGCTGAAGTACAGCGCAAAATTATAGAGCCATAAAGTAGGAGAATTCGAAGCGAGTTTCGACCCCGAAATCGACCTGCCATCCGCCACTCGCGATTGTTGCTCGCATTCGGTGGTTTAAGGTTTCGTGACACGTACGAGTCGTCGTTCAAACTCTCTTCAAATCTGCGGATACGTTTCAAAGTATCAAACTTCCTCTCCGCACCACGTTTTGCGCACGTTTATTTTAATTCCTTGTTTGGAATTTGTACGAATTTTATGGTCGAAGCATTGTACAGAGAGCATTTTAAAGAATAAATTTCTGTTTCTTTTTTTTTTTTTTTTCCTTTTAATCTCTTGTATACAAATTTCGATAAACGTTATTTAATATTTATTTGACTTAACGAATATTTTAATTGTGGATAAATAGATAATATTTAATTTTTATTTTGTTTATAAATTTAAATGTAATTATTTTCAGTATCATTTAACGATGAAAAGATTTTGAATTATATATATATATATATTTTTTTTTGTATGCAATGATTACGACAACATTTAGCATTTCGGAAAGGTTATTTATCATAGAGTCTTTTAAGAAGATTGAACCTTGCAGTCGGAAAAAGTGCAACTTGCGTTATATAAGGGTTAAAATTTTCATGGAATGGAACAAAGGAAGGGAGAAATTCTCATAAATAATAGCAAGATTTATGTACACCGAGGAGGGAGAATAAATTTTGCACGAATGAATAAGATAAATGACTAGCCTGCAATAAACATTAAGAAACATTAGGAAATGAATTAAAAAATTCATGGGAACGTTCAGAATATCCCGACATGGGTAATAAATAAAATTTTCGAAATTATTATAGCG